AGAGGAAGTGGTTCAAAGCAGAGTCGAGCGCCCGAAAGAAGCGCCAGTCCAAGCCGCCCAACAAGCGTACTTCCAGTCTGAGCGACGACACTCACAGCGCAGTCACTCCAGGCATCACGGCGAGTCACTATGGGAGACTCAGCGTACTCCGCGATCCCCCCGAAAGGAGCGTCAACACCGTTCGCATCGCTCCGAAGATCGTGCGCGTGAGCGGGAAGAGCGTTCCATGCATGAGATGGAGGAGCCACGTTATGCTGAACATCAGCAATATACGCCGAGTGAGCCGCGGTACTAGTGTGAGCATTGTATACAAATGTCTATCATCACGATGATAATCTAAAAGACATGACGAACAACATCCGGCGTTGGTCATGATTTCTGGATGCTATCCAGGTGTTTTCAAGGCGTTGGAGTGTATGGAGGGATTGCAAACGGGTGTATAGGAGTACAACGATCTGTACCAAAATTATCATGTATACGTCTTCATGTCGGTCTTTCTGGCATACAAGGGCAAGAGTAAACATTTCTACGTTGGAAAAATAGAAGACGCATGAGATGCAAATGGAAGCTTCCAGCGACATGGGATTCTGAACAAGTCCTCTCGATCTGAGTAAGGGTATATGATGAATACGCGGGTTATGACACTGTTCAGCTGCCGCAAGGAAAAGGCATGTCTTTGTCAAACCCCCTTGGAGTTGAACAGTCTCAGACGTGGATCAACACTGTCGCATATCTCGCCGCTTTATCATGAACCATCTGTTCACCCATAGTATCATGTAGTCGCCCTGTCGTAGTCTTTCCCACCACACTCGTCCATTCTATACGCTCGAAATCTGGATGTGCAGCATGTACGATAGCTATTCTCGTTCTGCTTCGTGGCCAGTCTACATGACCAAACACAAGCTCAGCAACAGCGATTCAACAAACTTTGCCCGATCCGATGTTCCTGGCGTTCTCTTAGGCTCGTTGACAAGTGTGGCTGCATCGGCGTCCGTGTCTGCGCCTGCTTCTTATGACGTGCGCATGGCACGGCTAGGTGTTGAGATTGTGCCTTCGAATTGTGCTTCTTAAAAGTCAGTTGTGTAGTGGTTGTATCATAGGGCAGGATGAATTCCTCATACCAGAGCTTGCAGTAGGAAGGGGCGACGTCATAGCGAGATAGTACTGAAGTGAAGTTGGTCGACAAAAAAGAGATGATTCAACTAATGCCAGACACCTACAACATGAGTTAATATGATAGCGATACATATCAATTTTCTCGGTGACGAAAGTCGCGAGGCTGAGGATATTCGGCCCTCTAATCCGGCTGTGAATGCGAGATACGAGTCGAGATGACCGTGGCCAAGCAATAGGCGCACGCTCAGCGCGTGGCTTGGAAGAAGTGAGCTTTGAGCAGGTCAAGACATGACTTAGTTATTGCACTTGTTGCGTAGCGAATGACCTCGTCTCCATGATACTATTGTAAACGAATCGCTGCTTCTCGCCATTCCACGTGCACTGCTTGCTTTCTCATTTACCGTACAGACTGCGCTTTCTTACGACGTGCGTGATGATTGTCTGGGTGGGATACGTGTGACGCTGTTCGACAAAAGCGTCAACCTTGGCCTGATGGTACACTTCTGGCGGTGATGCGATGCATGCTTCCAGTCCTCCACAGGCGAACAACCCCGAGCGCCAAGGATAACTTGGTTGTCCTCTTGTACTGGGCTGACAATCGAAAGCGACTGAATGCGCGTTGTCATGTACCGGTGATTGAAAACATCTGCTCACGCTCTTGCCTTCACATTTCCTCAATCATCCAACAAGTCCAGCCAAAGCACTTTCTGCTCTTTGAAAGACTCATCCTCGATAACACCGCGGAACGCGACCTCGGCCTCCAGCATTCCTGCTTCGACGTCTCCCTGTCCCATCTCCTCTTCCTCGTCACTGCCACAGCTATCGTTGCGCTTCTCTAATGCGTCAAGCATAGCCTCGCCCTTGGTCTCAAGCTCTTCAATGCGCTCATTAGCCAACGCCAGTGCTTCTCTCAGCGTAGACTCGGTGTCTGCCGCGGCTTGTGTAGTGGCCGAGGTGCCCTGAGATGTGTACCTATGCAGCGTGGCCTTCAAACTCAGATTGCGCTGCTGCACCTTGTCCTTGGTACGGTCGCTCTTCTTAAGACGGGCGACGGTACGCATTGCATCGTTGAGCTGATCGACAAGCTTGTCGTGCGCGGAGACGAGGACCTGGAAGCGCGAGTAGAGTTGCCCGCCAGCTGTCCTATCCTCTTCATGGCGGAATCGGAGATTGGCGTTTTCCTGCTCGATCTCAGACACAACGCAAGTTTGGTGCTCAAGGTCTTGATGGGCGGCCTTGAGGTCCTGTTCTTGCTCCAGAGCGAGCGAGCGCCAGTTGTCTCGGTCGCGACGGAGGCGAGCTGTAAGTGATTGCGCCCAGGACAGTTCACTTAATAGACCTTGCTTCGATCTTGAGGTTGTCTGTGGGGACTTTGGAGATGGGAGGGAGTGTTGGTAGCTGGTGGTGAAGCTTCCCTCACTGGGTAGGCGAAATTCGAGTGTCAGTGGGCTCGTGGGTGCGGAGGCATGTCGCGTGAACGATCTGAAGAGTCGCGACTTTGGGTTTGCGGTGACGATATGCGCTTCAGATACAGCGGCTGGCATTTTTGGCGTTGTAGCTGCTGGTGTTCGGGTACCAAGGGGATGTGACGAGGGTTGCATATAATGGTGGTACTACAAAGAAAGTGAGACAAAGAAATGGTCTCAGGTGTGGACGTTAATATGTACAGCCAGCAAACGGGTGTGCGGTTTGAATGTGGGGTTCAACCCTGGGTGACTGTCGCTGCAGGTCGCGTGTCGTACGACGCGTGTCCACGTGCGAGCGCGACCGGATTGCCCGCTGCTTCCGCATTCACCTCGGACATGTACAGTACGAAGCTGCGAGATACGCAAGTAGAAATGGATAGATCGCCCGATGAATGTATGGAGACGTGGTGGGAATGTGATCAATTAAAATTACACGAATCATAGAAGACACGATGACGAAGATGCTGTTACTTACCAGGCGCTCTAATGCGACAAATACAAGAGAATGTATGCAACATCTCACAGAGCTATGGCTGCAGCAAAAATGCCCACAGCACCCATCATCGCCATCGCAGTCGGGAGGGATGCAGCAGGTGCCAGACCAGTGCTCGGCGTTGAAGCGGCACCGGATTGAGACCTCGAAGGCGATGTCGCTCCTGTTCCTGATGCCGAGCCAGTAGGTGATGGCCCTCCAGTCGCTGAGGCTGATCCTGGAGAAGACGCACCAGTTGCGGTGACTAGTGCAACCACCTGATACGCCTCCATCTCCTGTATCTCGCTCTGCGACAAGACGCTCGTGGACGCGACCTGGTCGGCCTGGTCCGGGACGTATCCGCTCTGGGTGACGTCGCAGGTCAAGTCTGCCGTTGACATTGCGCCCCGCCAGCTGCAGGCCATATCCATTGTCCACGCGCCTGGAGTCGGGTCCGTGAGGTGCATCTCGTACGTCTCAGGACCTTGTAGGATGGTGTACGGCTCGCAGAAGGAGTAGTCCTCGTTGGAATCATCGTCCTGGCGGCGCATGCGAGGCGCGGGTGTAGGCGAGGGAGTCTCGGAGGGGTCGTCTGTGATCGGTACTGGCAGTGTTAGTGCAATCTCTCGCGACGGGTGCATGACGTACGAAGATCAGACGGCACGACTGACACGCCGACTCCATCTGACGGGCAGCTGTTCTCGTAGGTTGTTGCGCTCGCATCGGAACCGAGCACGGTGAGGGTGCTGTCGAGTTGGAAGAAGTTGAGGATCGTCGCGGACTCTTGCGCCATGGCAGCGCCGGCGAGGAGCGGGATGTAGCTGGAGGGACGCATGTTGGATGACTGGCGACGGCTGATGGAGAGGCATCGCTGTCATGGTGGACTAGGCCTGAAGTTATACATTCTCTACCTGTCGAAATCAATACTTCGTGGTGTTACCGACGCCACCATGCCTTGCAATGTTAGGCGACGAATCGCAGCCGCGGTGTGCCTGGCGTTGTGATGATGCATCAGCAAATACGAGAGGCGGCGAGACGCGCTACCTGGAGTTGTTGCTTCCTAAGCTCAGGGGCGCGCGTGGCTGGACTGTGATCGACTCATACTGACAAAGATGTTACGGTAGCATGGTGGCACTCTATCCGAGGAAATATCAGACCCAGCCCTGGAGGTGTCTAAATCGCTCTAGAATGTTGTTGACTTCTTTTTCCAGCCAATGTAGGGCCTAGCGTAGTCGATTTGTTGCTTTTGGCATGAGGCGGTGGGAACAAGGGGAGTGTGATGATGAAGGGTGCCCAGGTGCGAGGTTGGGGTCGTGACACGCATTAACCCGACTTCAACGCATCGCACTCATGTCACAACAGAGAAGATAGTGTGAGGGCTATGTAGCAGCTGAAATCTGGGCGTGCACGTGTGCAGTCATGTCGCAACATGTGTGGAAAAAGAAGCCCACGCCCGTGAGGGGTGTCTGCATCGTTGGGCAAAAAGAAAGATATATTGCAAATGGCAAAAAGAAACATTCCGACACCGGGAATCGAACCCGGGCCTTGCCGGTACTGCGCTGCAACAGCGAGCTTACTCTGCAATGAGAGCGGCAAATCCTAGCCACTAGACCATATCGGAAATTGATGGAAGGAGTAGACAATTAGACATATATAACTTTAGCAAAACTTTTCCGACGAAAATTGAGGGGTTTGAAGTTTGCCGGACACGAGAAGTTTGCAGACAGCAGGGTGGACCGCGAACGGGCTAGGACAGCAAGTCATTCATCGTTGAGTCATCATCGTATAGGCTAGAGAAAAACTGGTCATCATTCATTACGTCGTCATCAAGCAGCAGCGCAGTGGACAGCCCAGAAACGCCCAAGTCAGTAGGCTAAAGATCAACGACAAATCCCATAGCACCCGAACCCAGACATCGACAATTTGGACACGAAAGAACTATCCCATCAGCCCATCACCGGCGTATCCGCTCTCTCCGGCAATGACTGCGCGATGGGCGCCAACCCTAGCAACTTCATGCCATTTTCCAGCACGACAGCAGTCGCTTCATAGAGCGCAGCGAAACCGGGGGTGACCTTCGCATCCTGATCACCCTCAGCATCCTTAGGAAGACACTCGGCAAGCTGCTCAGTCACACTGGCGAGATAAGTAACAACACCAGCCGGCTCGAGCGAATGGTAGGTCGCATCCACGACCTCTGTGTACTGAGCCAGAATGCGCAGAAGATTGGCCGGGTCTTCTTCAGCCAACACTTCGTAATCTTCATCCGAGAGTTCAGCTGCGGCGTCCGTGCCTTTGAGCAATTGGCGGAGCTTGGCCAGCCAGTACTGCAGATCCGGGCCCGACCCAAGCTTGAAGGCAGCCATCGCGCCGGTATCGAAGGCATGTGTTGTTGTCAGACGAGTCGAGAGCTCTTGCACGAGAAGTGACGATGTCGCCAGTCCTTCCCTGACATCATCCAACCCACCTACCACTTCGAGCTTCTCGGCATCGGCTTCCGACAACGCAGTCATCGCTTCCTCACATGCGTCCAATATACCCTGCGGCTTGTACCCTTTACCAAGCGTCGCCGCCATTTTCGATACCTCGCTGAACTTGACATGCTGGAGCTTGTTGGCGAGCTCCTTCATGTCCATCGCCTCCAACACCTTGATGAGCTGAGTAAAGTGGACGCTATTGTCGCTGGCAACCACGTACACCATCTTGTCGAACGAGTACTTCCTCGAACGCTCCAACACCGCGGCGAGGTCTCGGAGAAGGTACGTGCTGCTACCGGAGCGGTCGCGAATGATGGCCGTACCAGCCTTCGCACCTATGTTCTGCATGTGAATGATCTGAGATCCCCCGCTCTCCTCCGAGATCCCCTTCTCCTTCAGCATCTGTTCGACTTCCACCATAGTCTCAGGCTTAATCTGCGACTCGCCAGAGTACTCATCGAAGCGCACACCAAGTCGCTCGTAGAACTTGGTGTAGTTGTCGATATTGGCATCTCGCACGCGCTTCCAAAAGGCCACAAGCTCCTCATCACCCTCTTCCAGCTTCTTGAAAGCCTCATTGCGTTCTGCAAAGATGCCCTTGCTTTCGATCTCGGCCTGCGCTTCGCCTTTATCTTCGCCTTCCTTCGCCACTTCGTCACGCGCCGCCTTGCTCGCCGCCTGTTCCGGCTTGAAGTCTTCTTCAATCTTGTGGTAGACCTCCAGCAGGTGTCCGACCGGATCCGCATCGTACGCCTCTTCCGAGCCGTAATTCGACCAGCCAACGTACAACAACGCGATCGGCTTGCCCCAGTCGCCGAGGTAGTTGATGCGTGTTACATCCCATCCCATCGCCTCGTATAACCGGCCGATGCATGCGCCGATGATTGTGCTCCGCAGGTGCTTTCCTTGGAACTCGCTGGTGATGTTCGGGGAGGAGAGCTCGACGACGAGCTTCTTGGTCGCGTCATGTGGGACGGCGGGAAGTGTGATAGAGCCATAGGAACTCTTTCGAGACGAGGTGTATGGCAAAAGAAGACGTGGCACGGACGTGACCTTGAGAAAGACACGAAAGTGAACGCCATCCACAAAGGGTAGGATAAAGAGTGGGTCGTCTTTCGGAAACTACGATCTTTAGCAAGTTGGTCTCGTCTACGTTCCGCAGTCTAAGGGCATGACATAACGTACCTTTTGCATCAGCTCAGCAGCCACTTCACCAGCCTTCATCCCTGGTCGCAGCTTCGGAAGGACCACGGCCAGATCCCCACTGGAAATGTCATTCGGCCACAGTATACATTTGAATGTATGCTCAATATCGCAGCCCAATATACCCACTAAGATTGCTGCCAGATGTACGCGACACAAGTCCAGTGGATTGGCTTCTGCTCTCGCCGCCGGCACGTCTGGCAGGGGACTGTCCAGGCTTAAAGAAGCCACGCACCCCTCGAGCGCTTCCATGATTTTGCCTCTGGTATTTTCAGCTGGCTCGATTCTTGCTTGCCCGCCGTGTCGCAAGGCTGTGAGTATTTCTCGCTCCTAGTTCGCGATCTAGCAGCCGTCCAATGGGCACAGTCTTTCCAGGTGCGTATCAAGACGAGCGTTGAATCCGCGATATCCTCACGGCGTTTGAGAACTGTCCAAATTTGCTATAGCAATCGAGTGTATATATGCATTCTTGGTAGCCTCGTCGCATGGAGACGGCAGTCTTAGTGACGAGGCAGTGTTGTCGTGGTTCGTCGCAATTGGCCTACAGCTCCTGCAGGCGCGCTTATGGCGATCAATGAGAACTCCAGATCTATGCCGGCTGTAGGCAACAAACTGACTCCCCGCACTTTGATGGGTATTACAGTAATCGTAAATAACGCTTTGCTGACTGCGTGCTGGACGTAGCTTTCAAAAGCCTGTGTGTTCTTACGACACGCATGCCCTACTTCGTGCGAGGTTTCGTCTCGTAGCTTCTCTGCACAGCGATGCTACTATGAGTCTCACCTGCGGAGTTATATCATATTCCCAATTAAGAAGCGCAATCGTTCAGGCCAGCTTCGACAGAGAGCAATGTGCGGACAAGGCTACTAAGGCAGCGGCACGAGGCCAATCCTCACGCTAGAATCTTGGAGTGCTAACAGTCATCAAGGCTAAGTTCGTCTGTATAATATTTGCGACACGAAGTTTGTTCTTGCCGCATCTTTCAATTCGAACCAAACGTGCTGCGATACAGGTCTTATATTGGGCCAAGGTAAAACCCTCGCCACAGACAGACCACCGTACCTCATCTCATCATAATAGAAGAAAAGATATGAGTCGCTACGTCCCAATTCTGACACAGTAGTTTCAAACGAGGCTGAACGTGTTAGACAGCTGGCGGTACAAGCTCGATATCATCTGCTAGTGTTATTAATCATTCCTTTCCATGAAGTTCTTCCTGGTCACTGACCTGTACTACCATACCCATTATGGGCATTTTTTCTACCCCTCTTTCCAATTCTCAACACAAGGCCTTGTAAACGATCAAGATTGCTCAGCAGGTAAGTTAATAGAGAAAGCGCAAGGCACATCACTGTTAAAGAGATGGCAAACGTCCTAGGTGTACGATCGAAGTGGAAAATATCTCGATCAGCCCCGAAGTATTGCAGAACAAGGACTAGAGGTGTGGTGATGCCAAAGAGCTTGCCATGTTAGCAGGACTGACCTTTTTTCGGAAGATGTAGATCATCCACTAACCAGAACATTCACACGTGTACCTCGACTTGTCTCCCTGGCAGCTTCAGTTGTCTCCTTGGCAGCTTCAGTACTCGTTCGGTTGAGTACGTGTATTTTGTGACTAATTTCGTTGGTCTGGCGATTCAGCTCATGCGCATGATCGGCGCGAAGTTGACTCTGACAGCTGAGGCGATTACTGACACGCTCTTGGTAGAACAGGAACTAACTTCGTTGTTAGAGTGAACATGGCTTAGACAACATACAAAACATACCATCGTCTGAGACTCTTTGCAGGTCTTTTCAAGCAAATGTAATCGATGTTGCAGATCGTCCAATGATATGAAAGCAGCCCTTAATCTCTTGAAAGCCGAGAGAGAACCGGGATCTTTCAGCTCGGAGAAGTAACGGTAGTCTCCGCTGGCGGCTGTGAATGCTGTCCATACGCGTAGGGTTCTCTTGATGGTTCGATGCAGCTTACCCAGGATCTGCATAGTCGTGACGGTTTCTCTGAATAGTTGCTCGATCATGGGCTGGTCATTGGCAGCGTAACCGCTAGTGAGTTCATGAACATGTTTGTCTTTCTATATTGCATCAGCCACGAGCCATGTAATCGGCGTCTTTAAGGACTCACTAGCGCTTCTATGCCCCTCTCGAGGAAGCGAATGCACCAATCCCACTCTTCCAAGGCTCTAAAGATACGAAGCTCAATGATGCGCAACCAGTAGCGTCGGGGATCCCAGATAGGCCTGTTCGCGTCTTCGACTGTACTTGCGTGGCCATTGCCGTCAGCGGCGAAATAATCCTCTTCCAGAACTAAAGGCTCATCATCTGGCCCTCCTTCGTTTCCTTCATCGTCAGCCTCTTCATCGTCTTGCGTGAAAGGATCCCGAGGCGCATTGACGAACGCCCAACCAACCCATTTAGAGTTATCCCAGCCACAAATGACGATAGAAGTATGTGCTTCACAAATTAACCATCTCCGCAAGTGTTGCTGGTCACCGTGCTGGGACGGTTGTAGCTGCAGATACGAAACGTCCAGCCGACCTCTCATTCTTTGATTTTCGTGCAATGGATCAGCAGCGCTCGATGTCGCGTGATATCCTCGTAGCGTTGGGAATGGTAAATGGAATTCCAACACGAAGACCGGAAGGGACTGTTTCTAGAGGCTCATTAGTCCAGTACAGATGCGCATGTGAGATTGCTTACTGAGATTTGCACTCGTATTGATGTCTCAAAATCGATGTGTTTGGCAATAGCATCGCGTAGAGGGTCGATTTGGTGTTGATACACTGTGTCCACCAATGCTTTGATGTATTCAGGACTCAGTCGATTGATATAACTGAACAGCTATCAGCATTGATAACATTCACGAGCGAAAGGCAAAATTCCAAGAGCTTGTAATGCAACGATCAGACAGCTGGGCAGTCCTCCAGTATGATGACTGTCGTGGCATGATACCAAATGCTTTGAAGGCAGGACAAGGCTAAGGATAGCCCGATGTTAGCTCGATGAATCTTATAAGACATCGTGAATTGAGACGAGAAGTGAACCAAAGTCAACCTACATCAGTCGGCGATCCGCGTCTGGCGGACTGCTGGTCGGGGTACCAAATCGCTGCTCATATTAGTTAGATCAAAATAGACTTGGAATGATACTTACGTCAGCAAGTAACAAGTCTCTTAGTACCTCTGGCGTGAGCCATTCTTGATCGTAATCTCGACGTTTTCCGGTGCCGTATGCGCGGTCATCCAACCTCGCCCGTGCTGGCTGTGGATCGTTGAGAGAGACCGTCTCCATGAATCTCTGGAAGGCGTCTTCCTTCCATGACGGTATAGCACTCTTCACGTCCCGGAGAAAGTAGTCCAACGTTCCTCGTTCAAATCCCGGAATGTTTTCTCTCTCCAAAATGAATGGTACATCCGCCAGCGGTCGGCAGGTTGAGAACACGGGATTCCATAGCTTTGGTTGAACTTTTCTCCGTGTGCTCCTTCTTAGCCCTTGCATCTAGTCTTTCGCGTACCAGAGAGTGGTAGAATAGCCTAAAAGAAGGCGGCAACTGCAGTCAATGATTGGTCAGACTCCGAGAACGTTCGGATCATGCTCCAAATAACTCTAGATGGATGTCAATGTGGCGTATTTCGCCGTGGCTTTACGATGTATTAGACAATGCTGCATCTGCTTCATCTGGTGCGAGTGAAATGCGATGAAATCTTGGCAGAATCTAATGTTAGAAGGAGAAAGATGCGATGCAGCTCCACTGCGATATAAGAATCCTTCCAAGTCTTTTTAATCAAGGTTATAGGTCTTGCGAAGCCCGTGTAGCTTCCATCAGGCGGACAGCTTCATCCCGAGATCTGTCACAGAACGTTTACCATTCGTGAGAATGATTGAAAAGCCATCGCGCGACACGTTTCAACGTCTGAATCGCCAGGAAATAGGTCATGAAGGCAATCGAGGGCGTTGTATCTACGACGAGTTGCATGAGTGAGGCTATGTTCGATCTGCCGTTTCGGGCAGGCCGGTTGGCTCGATCGCGTATGACTGAGAGGTGTACGCCAGGGTCAACTCAATCATTCGGTCGATCAATTACAAAGTGATAGACTCACTATAGACGTCGGAACATTCAAAGCCGGGTAGGTAGTGAGCATCAGGCAAACGTCTGCCTGGATCGGGCCTCCATGCATAGATACGTGCCAGCGCATGAGGAGCGCCACACATGACCACTTCGCGAATGAGACTGCGAATCTTAGTGGCTCTTGCAGATTTGATGCACAGTTGGCGGTAGAAAAGTCGTCAGGAGGTTTGATGTTCTTGAGGACTCCCAAATCAGGTCTCATTAGGGTGTATGGCGATCTCGGGAATTGCTGGAAGAAAACGGAAGGACTTTTTAAGCGATCTCGGCCAAGAGATTGCCTCGCCGATGAGCCTCACGGTCTGGGGTCTGGGGTAGCATGGTCGCGTCAACTGCTTCGTAGCCACCTTCGAGGTTTTTTACGTATTCCCAAAGTCCATCAATTGTGTTCCGGCTGCTCTTCACCGGATCTAGATTTGACGAGGCTGACAAACGTTCGTAATTTGAAGGCTGTCTCGAGACTAGCAAGTTTGGGGCGGGAGTAATCTATGAGGACCTACACAATGCGGTTGGTCATGGGATCAGATTATACTTGATCGGTGAGGTGAATATAGAGGGCCCGATGTGTACCAAATACACCCTAGTTCGTCTTGGAGTCTCACTCTAATAAGGAAGACTTGTGATGCAATGAAACCGGGTGCGGATACGTTCGAGACTAAGAGTAAAATCGACAGTCACAGTTCCGCCGGCTCAACATTGACAGCTGGTATGATCGTTCAGCAGATACAATCCCGTTCCAGACTCCATGGTATCCCATCCTCCATTGGCTGGTCACGTCCACGTGCGAACCAATCGAGTGAATATTATATTTTACGGTGACTAATAACCTTGAAAGCTTAGGATCAGGAATACGGCTTATCTTCAGTAGGTACCATTGCTCCAACATTCGGTAAACGCCGAATAGAGCGTGAAGAGCGTGATATGGTCTTGTAGTTCGACAGAAACAATCAAGCCATTCGTTCAACGGCCGAGGCCGGTACCACAACCGGATCCCTGTACCTTCCATATAGTATCCTCCAGGTTCCCACCAGAGTCTTGTCCCGCGGACGAAGCATGCGACTATCTTAGTTGTATTTTTGTGGTACAGCAATTGCCACAACGCCCATATCCACAACCAGAACAAGCTTGGTTCTGATATGGTATATTTGGTCTGCCGCAATAACAGCATTGCCAAACATAAGTATATCTTTTCTTGGCCTAGCAAGGTAAGTTGATGAGACCATTGCGCGCTTCTACAGGAAGCTTTCCATGTTGCTTACAAGTGTTTGTATAGGTATATGTCCGCCCTCGTCTCGTATTGTCCATCCTGTTGTTGCCGAGGGTAGCGCTCCGGCTACGTGTGCCTCGAGATCGGTGTTTTCTGTTCGTCCCCGGCTGACCCGATATCGATGTTGAGCGCGACGTAAACGATCGCGATAGCCCTGCGTAGCATGAGCTGTGAGGTGTCGCTCTCTGGCAAAGACGGTACGCAACCAGCCCTGAGCTTCCGTCGAATCTCGATTGGTTATGAATTGGAGGCGGACAGTCGACATCGCGACCTCGCCCTGGCAATATATAGCTCTCCGTGAAGACGCGATCGGTTCTGCGGTGCGATTCGGTGGGCGGTAAAGTGCTTGTCATGGACACAATAAACCTGCGTTTCTTGTGCTAGTCAGCATCTCTCCATGAGAACCCGTCGCGGCTGGCATTGCTACAAAGAGTTTGGGAACCCAATGGAACGTTTTCGGGACTGTATAACCCGGGACATGAGAGCTGAGGGGGCATTGAAGAGATGGGTGGGGCTCGTTGAACCGAGTAGGAACAGCAATGAAGACGCGAACAGGGTTCGCATCTAAGAGACCGTGCGCAAGGACGAAACACGCGATTGGCACTTACCTGGGAGGTACCTTGGTATGCGATGGTGTTACAAAATCTAGCTTCGAAGAAGATGAGCTGCGACTTCACGTAGTTTTTGCTCTTGAGAGGGTCCTGGAGATTTATACTTGCATTCTGAAGCTCACGAAGTTTGTTTTGCCATGATCTAGATGATTGGACTGTTTAGCGCTCCCTCAGCATTCTCCCGTCACTTACCTACATCGGCATACACAGCAGTCCCTCCCGTTTGGTGCAACGTGCTGAGCAGCTGCACAATCTTACTTTTGGAACATGTGGACTTTCCCCGAGATCGCTGCAGATCTAGTAGCATTAGTCAACGATAGGCAGCGTCCGGCTGCCTCACCTGGGCACCAGGTGCTGCAAGCTCGTCGAAGATCATGCGACCAGCTCTAGTTCATGAGCTATTCAAATTCCGATTTTGAATCAATACTAATCAATTGGAAGATAACGAACGCTCTGATGAGCTTGTGAGTGCTACGAGCTGGCAAGGAGCGAAGCAGCTGTTGGCGTCGTATTATAACCACAGAACGATTCAAGCGGTCCGATGCCACTGTCGTCGTGCACTCTCCGCGGCCTTCCAACTTTCTGGATGGTGGCCCAAGTTGACTCACCATCGCTGTGATCTGTACGCAGGCGGATTCACTCGAACTTTGGCACACCCTGTTAGCAATAAGAGCGCGACACCACCTACCTAGTCGATAGCGATACCGGCAGTGCTGCTGGTAGTACTGACAGCGTAGCAGAAGTGAACAAGGATGCTCGTTACGAACGCGATAGGGTCTCTCCTGCGCGTGCGTACCTGTGCGCTGTTATGCTCCACACCGCCAGTCCTCTTCTTGACAGGGTTCTCAACCGATGCCCAATGTGGCCGAACGACCCTAACCAAGACACGACGTGATGAAGCTAATAGAGTGAACTGACTGAGCCCTCCAGGGGGGTCAAGGTTGCCCTGAAACACTATGATGTAAAGAACTCGTCCTGACCAAGTTCAGGACTATGAGGTCAAGTCTTGTTAGCGAGTCTTGACATAGGCTTCAACTTATCTGTCGTGAGTTGACAATGTATTAGTTCGCTCTTCCCGAGGAGGTCTGACAAAAGATTACAAGCTGTCAGGCTGCGTCACAAGGTCCGCGGGCTCAGCTCTATCCAATGCCCAACAAAGCAGAGTATGCACGTTTGCGTCAGACCGGACCTCGATCTTGTTCAGTGCTAGCACAAACACCCAATGACATGGTGAGCGCATCGGTGACTGACCACTTCATGTGCGCATCTGCACAACATGTGTGGAACAGCGCAGCCAACCCAGTCGGTCAGAGCTTCTTTTGAGTGAGCACAGTCTCGATTACCACCTGCTACAGGTCCCGAAGCGTCAACTCCACTGTTCAGTATCTGAAGCATGACAATTTTTACAGATCTTACCCATGGTAGCATCCCTAAAGTAATCGTTAAGTGCTTATATTCTCTCACCTGAAGGGCTGATGTGAGATGTCAAGAATCATGCCCATGAGAGCGGTACCGTATATGCGCAGACAAAGCAGTAGCCG